AGACCAAAAAGCAAATTCCAACATGTTAAAACTTTATGAAGCATGATATTGCTTTTTTGGATGTCATTAACCATTGGGACTGTACGATAGTAAGCCATTGCTTATATTGATATTTTAGTTAATTCTGATGTCATTTTTGGACTATTTCCAAATACTTAACATCCAAAGTATTTGTTCAACCCAGACTGGAAGGTTACAGAAGTTTAAAAACCAGAAAAATCATAAAAGTACAGACATTTTGTCAAACAAACAAAAACAAATATTTTATTAGATTTAGCTATATTCACAAACAAAACATGTATTGACTGATTAAAAACAATCTATTCAGGTTTCAAACAGAATCTCAATGGAATTTAAGAATTTTGTAAATAATCAAAAAGGAGAGGCTACATTGGAATTTTTGGCATATTGTGAACAAAATAATAATAATATCAATATCATCCATTAACAGCTGTAACAGTGTTTTTTCTTCTTTGGAAAATACCAATCATTAAAAGATGAATGGAGTAAAACCCGACAAACATCTTTACAGACTCTTTTTCCATCTTCTTCTCCAATAAGAAATCGTTGACTTGGTCCAATCAAAAGCAGACTTAAACTAAACTAGGAACTTAAAGGAGTTACTGGTGCTGGTGCTGACCTTTGCGTACAGGAACAGACCAGTCTATTAATTAAGAAGAAGTACTGGACCATGAAAAGCTCATATCACTGCTGAACCAAAATGCTTGAAATTGCTGCAGTAAACTTTACTGGCTCACTTTTCATTTAATGAGATTTTATACACGTCATTCCAACCCCTGAAATCTGTGTTTTCCCTCAGTTTTTCTCCCTTTTTGTTATTTCAGACCTCAGCTCAGGGCTGACTCAGCACATTCATCCAAAGATCTGCAGAGAGAGTATCTCTCAGGATGGTCAGGGACTTATGAGGGATTGTGTTTGTGCGAAAACAGGAAAATAAATACGAGACTGTTATTTGTGCTGATCAAATATCAAACCAAAAAGATGGATGTGCTTCGGGAGATAAGTACGTGTTGGGAATGGTTCAGCTTCAGAATTGGAAATCTTGAAGGTTGGCATCAGTTGAGTGATTGAACAGTGTAGAGTCATATATCAAATGTCTGCTCAGTGGTTCATTTGTAAGGTCTTCAAAAGAGCTCAAAAATCAAGTTTTTCTATTTTGATCAGTTTCAGAATGTGAAATTGGAAAATGCTGCAAGTTTTGAGAGTATCCTCTTAATTTTTATGTTGTCAAAATTGTGTTTTACATACTTCACTAATCCCTAAGGCCTGGTTCACCCTCTGGTATTGAGAGACATGCTTCTCACACACGTAGGCCCGGAAAACACATATGCACAAACAGGACATATGGACATGCACTAATAGAGAGATGTCCGAGTCAAAGTGACCTGGCACCTCTCAGTTAACCAGACCAATGATCATACTTTTGTCCAAATCGGCGACCCTCCAGTCCCCAACTAAAGTCCCTACAGCCGGAGCTACTGACGCCCCAATGAGAAATGAAAAAGTCTGAAGCTGAAAGCTGCAGACTCTATTTATGTAACTTGAGAATACAGTTTATTCCCAGATCTTCAAATTGTCCTTTTGATATATCGAGGGCTTTGTGGTTTATTTTTTACGAGATCATATAAATTACAGATGGAGTAGCTGGCAACCTATTAGGGCTGTCAGGGTTAATGCATTAATCGCAATGTGATTAAGGTCCAAAATTAATGCATTCCAATTTCTAAAATCACATCAATTGCATGCTGTTTTGTCCCTTTAGGCGCACTGTAGGTAAGCCCCTGCAGCGTCTCCCTGTAGACACAGTGATGGAGTAGAACAACATTACTGTGCATTTAAAGAGCAAATTTAAATGAAAAAAAGTCAAAAGTATTATGCACCTTGTGAAATCAAACATTTCATTTTTTCACCGTTCCCTTGGAACTTTTGTAATTTACTATTTGATCCGTGAAATGTCCTTTTTCCCGTGGTTAACTTTATATCGCAACTTCGGATGTACCAGAGGTTCTATATTTTCAAAATAAAAGCAGCTTTGTATCCAAACAGGAAGTAAAGTAACCTCAATTTATGTCAGTACAAAAATACAGAATAAAAGCATAACAACATTTTTGAAATGTAAAACAATGGAATTTTGAAATTCCAAAACATTCCATAAAATTGTGATTTATCAACATTGATATCCATCAATTAAAAAGAATACATTCAAAAGCCTTCAAATCTACTATTGAGGTCATTTAATATGACAGTGCTTGTATCACTCTGAAATGTGCATGACTATATGTGAAGCTATGACGACCTGTATGAACCACATTCCACCAAGTAGTCCGTCCATGATTCTCCCCATCTGTCTCGTTAGTCTGTCTTTGCCAATGGCCTTTGTGTGTCCTGTGTCTTTGAGGTTGCCTCTGTCCGTCTGTCTGCGGTCTGTCCGTCTGTCTGTCGCCTCTGACTTTCTGTCTGTCTCACAACAGTCATGCAAGCTATACAGACACTCAGCCAGTGGAAGAACGCCGGGCAGGGTGCCAGCGAGCTAGGGCGCCAGTTGGGCAGTCCATCAGTAGCATTAAAGACATGTTATCCAACCGAGTGTACCCGCCTGGCTTAGAGCCCTGATCCCCTGTCCAACCCCCCCATACTGCCCCTCGAATCACTCAGGGGCCCTGAGTAGAGTGCACAGAGTCCCCTTCTTGCTTTATCAGCATGGCACCCAGGCATCCAGCCTGCTGCTTTGGGTCTCTTAAAACACGTACACAAATAAATGAGGAGGGTGCTGGAAATAACTACTTTCTCATCTCCAGCCAAGCTGTCCCGCTGCTCAGGTCATTGTCTTTAAAGGGACAGGACAGCAGAGGAAGCAGGCTGCCATGACCTCCACTCCAGTTTTTTTTCTTCTTTAAGTCAGCAAAGATCAGTAACATAAAAAAAGTTAAAAGGTTCAAAAGGACTTTTTGTTTCCTGTTATACTTAGCCAGATAATGGACTTAGTGCTTTTTTTCATCATGGCTAAAAATATTTCTGTTGCTGTTTGATTCGTTCTGTCTCTCGTCCTCATTCTATCTGCTTTAATTTTATGGTCACTGCTTTGCAGATCAACTTCTATTGTTGTTAATGAAAGGTTTAAAGTGTCACTAAGTCTCAAGTAGGGATGCAATGATTATGGATTTTGACATCCCGATTATAGTCAGAGGAGTAATCTCACTTTCACAATTAGCAATAATACATTTATGATTATCTACCAATGTATACAATCACATTTACAGTCTTTAGAAAGATACAGGTGTTATTTATTGCTGCTTTTAAAAAACAGAAATAACAAAGTAATCCAGTATAAAATAATAAAGGTAAATATAAGTCCATCTCTCCCTTTTGAATTGTAAGACAAATTGTTGCAGAACTTTTATGATTAATTAACCATGATGTTTTTAACCCCAGTTAACCAGTTCACCGCTTCATCCCTAGTCTTAAGTGCAAAGTAGAAGTCAGTTACTTCAGGAGCACATTAATATTTACACCAAATGTAGATTTTCCATTGGTTCTCAACTGGTGGGTCAGGTCCCAAAAGTGTGTTGCGTAGCCGGATTCAATGGGTCCCAAATGTGTTCCTGGAACAAAAGTGCTGTCAGAAAGTAATTTGAATCACTTTTGTTTCTTTTTTCTATCAGGCACCATCTGAGGGTCAATCTGCTCAATCTTTTTTTTAAATAATTGTGATTGATTGAAAAAAAATAAGAAATTTGGGTCGCGATTTTTCATGAAGGAGTAGTTCCTGAGGCTAGACCAGTTGAGAACCACTGGATTTTCTTTACACTCAATTATTTAGTGAACCTTTGCACGGCCTTGTATTTGTTTGATCCTTATATGGCTAGTGAATGTAAGCTTTCTGTTTGGAAACCACTACCTATTATCTCTTTGCTGACTTAATCCTGTACATGTTCAAGTACTGTTGTAAGGATAAGGATAACTTTATCCTTGGCTAAAGTTGTTTCTGTTGTTTCTGTTTCTGCCACTGCCTGCCCTGTGGCATTGGTTTCAGACATTAAATACAACTATTTAGATATAGTCAATTAAGTTTTTCTTTTGTAGCTAATTTAGAGGCATCAATAGCCATTTTAGTCTGTTACCTACGCAGTCCTGAACTCTCCAACGATTCAAATCAAATGCTATCTCCAACACTTGTAGAAAAGAAGAGCAGGTCTAGACATTACTTTGTTTTATTGCCCTAAAGCCTATAGCAGCATAATTAGGAGTTGCTCCAAGCCTGAGCCAGCTCTAACTACGAGTGTACCACAAAGGACATTTTGCAGAGAAGCCAACAAGAGATGAAGGATAATTATATCTTTTGAGTCCAAATTAGTTTAGAATATGAATTCAGATGACTGTGTGGAGAACATTTGCTGTGTGTCAAATAATTGTTTGACATTCAATGAATGAATCTACTTTGATGTATTTCTTAATAGTCCAGTAGACAGCTCATTCATTGTGGCAGAAAGCATGAATGTAATAGAAACGAAGAATTCTGCCCTAAAATGTCTTCTCAAGTATTTTCTGTTTTCATTTCTTTGACCTTATTTAACTTCTCACTCTAATAAATGTGTATTAAATACGACATAATAGACTTTCGTGTCAGACCTATTTAATCTGTAGAGAGAAGAATATCCACTTGCTGAAGCAGTTTCTTTGGTGTTGTTATTGATGGCGGTTGAGGTAGTTCATGACTCATGACTCTTGTCTCTTGACCCTGTTGAGAAAGGAATAAGCCAATGACAATGAGTGAATTGTCGACTGAAGGTCAGCAAGACGATTCAAAGTCAAGCACTTCTCTTGGTCTGAAAGGAGTTTTCCAATCCAAAAAACCACAGCCATCTTTTTTTTGCCCAACTTGAATACCCATATCACTTGACGTGATTATTTTTTGGATATCAACATGTGTTAGGATATGGATGATAGCTTTTTCTAACTGGTAATGTTTCCCTTCACAGAGATTGGTGTGGACTGTTGAAGGTTTGCGAGGGGAAACACAAAAGGTAAGGCAATTACCTTCACCAAATTGAATGGCTGCATAACTCTCTGGATGGCTTTTTATCTCAATCCCTGCTGCCTTTTGATCAATCCACCTTGACAGCTCGCAAATGATCCACCAACATATAGCGGTTCAGTCTCGAGAGTACAAGTGTTCATTGATTTTTGTATACAAATGTGAAAAATCAATGTCTTTCTTACTGCGATTGAGCCACCCACACATCTTTACAATCACAAAGAACTGGGTCTGGTCTGTGGAGTTAAACCAGGTCGTTTTTTTGACTGGTTGGATGGAAATAAAGATTATTTTTAAGCCAGGAGAGTAAGCCTTTCTATCCCAGGATGAAGAAACATACAAACATGCTGACGAAAGACAATCATCAACACCTGCTGACAACTAACAAAGCCGGGGGAAAACAGCTCAATTTGTGGTTTTCTAACAATAGTGTACAAAAAGTAATGATGGGGTACGATGCTAAGAGGCAGCAGTAGCCAGTTGGATTTTTCTATCTGCTATTGCAACTCATTACCAAATTGACAAGGTTCTTGTAAATGTTAAATTCTTCCACAATGCACACATTTATTTGTTAAAGTGAATAGAGTTAAGCAGAAGCAGGAGCTCAGGTTTCAGGATTCAGGCTACAGACGTTTTGGGCTTAATTAGACCTTGTTTGCATCAAGCACTACAGAAGAAATCTGGTTTAGGACCTTGGTGGGTGTTTGTCCAAGATTCCAGGCTTAAACCATTAAACGCTGACACATCTGAGCCGTTTCAATTGTTTAGAAGCTGAATGATTAACATCAGGCTCAGATTTCAAAAGCTTCAAAATCCTAACAAGTTTAAAATCCTCACGAGGAGAAAGTTCACAGATTACCTCAAATATGCAAGCGATAAAATAAAAAGCAACACGTTCGATCTAGTTGGGGTCACTCTTGGTTTTACAGTTTTGTACTTTGCCTTTTCACCAGATCTGGCCTGTCTCCTTTCAATAATCACATATCTTCAAGGGAACAACATTAGCCTCTCTCTAACCATTAGCTCACACTGACCAGCCCTTTTTCTGTTACTTTGAATACTCTCTTACGACATGCCTTTCCCAGATCGTCAATATCATCCACATGCACTTCATCATCAGCGTTATATTAACCTATACCTTTTCATTCTTTCGATGGTTTCAAGTGTTGTGCAATGAGTGGATAGTTCTTTCTTCTGTGCTGTGCTTTCAATGGATGTTAATGCATGTTAAGGTATCTTGGCTCCATTTTCCCTCTCCGTGCTGCAGCAGATTCAGGGGGAAGAAATCATTGTTCTTCCCATGGGCTTAGAGATCTTCAGGAAGTTATCGACAGTGCTGTTCCCCCTCCTCCTTCCTTCCTCTACCTCCCTCTCTCACCCATTATCATCAGTCTATGAAATAAAGCGCATCACAATGTTCCCATATGGCCGAAAGGAGCAGAAAACTTGAGCGCTTTGCATGATAAATGATCAACGGTGTGAGAACAGGTACCGCTGCAGAATGCTCTCTGATAAATAGCGTTTCTGTTGTAAAGGGCTGTTATCGACCTTCTATGAAAAAGCATGCATCACCCAGTCATCGGTGTCCACTATGGTAATGATGGGTGGGATGCATCTTTATTGATCTCATATTTACTGTAGAATTGATTACAGTTTGTCTATAGGAACAGTTTGATGCATTGCATGGTGCTGTCTGTTCGATTGAATTGATCCATGGTTCCCCTGGCTTCCACATAAACTGGAGTTCCGCACTGAGAGCCGACAGTGCAGACAGCTCTGCTCACCCAGCAGCATGTAGAGACAGACTAGAGCCTGAGCAGCTTGTGTGCAGAGGTTACAGCCTGTTTGCAAATGGAGAAAAAGCAGAGCATAGTGCTAGAGGAACAAGGGTCTGTTTTCAGTAAATGAAAACTTGCAGTATTAATAATTCTGCAGTTAACAAAAAATGTGTTGGTTTGGCAGCCTTTCAAAGAAGCCTCTACTGTTGTGAAAAACAGGGTTCTATTTTTGTGATCTAGACATCAGTTTGATTGCTTATTAAATCTCTGTACACATAATTATCAACCCCTTTTTTTTCCAGACAAGAACAACAAAAGTATTGTCATTTGATTCTGTAAAATCTGATTTATTTTTAGATGCATCTGCAAAGTTAGTGAAGGTCTTGCCTTTCAAAGTCTCCATGCATGTCACTAACAGCATTGTAAAGTTTAGGGGATAAATCATGTTAAGTTTAGGGAAAGACTGTTAACAGTTTATTAAAAAAGGAAATGCAGGTCTGTGCATTATAGTCCGACACGCCCTTTCTCTCCATAGCCTCTTTTTTCCTACTTTCTGAATACAGCACACTCCCTCCTGCGTTGCCATTGGATGATAGTCTCGAGGTGCAGAGAGCTCTGCACTTAAAAGTCTATCGATCATCCAAACTATCGCTATAAGCCTTCAAGAACAATTTTCTCCAGGAGCCTCTCCATCTTTGAATCAGTCCCATACCTGAATAGCTCCTCCTTTTCTTTCCTCCTCCCCTCCTGAAGTCTCCATTACCGCTTTGACTTGTTGCCCTCCTCCATCTTCAATCTGTCTGTCTGCTCCATTCATACCAGAAGGCATCCCTATTCCCCTCTTCCCTTTTCTATACTTCTTTTTCTATAAGCGCTGCAGCCCCCCCGCTCCGCCTACATCTGGAGCCACTGTTGAGCCATCTTCTTAAATTCCTGGCATGTTTCTTCTCTCTGAGCCCGGCATCCCCCGGCTGGCTGTCTCCACTCTCTATCCAGCAGCATAAATTACACCGTGTCCTCACACCACCTATATGCAGAGTTATATACCACACACACACACACACACACACACACACACACACACACACACACACACACACACACACGACAAATTAATATTTTCCCACCCTTTTGGATTCTTTATAAACCTGCTTTATGGTTGTAAAAGCATCTTAATTACAGAGTAATTGAAGGAGTAATACCAGGATCTATCATGTATCTGAACATCTCCATGATGAGGATGTTTTGTTTTATCTCTCATCACTTACAGTTTCAGAGGTTTCCTGAATCACGCTTGCAAAAACCATGTTTAATCATGAAGTCCTTCATAATTAACGATCAGATTCCTTCAGTGTTCATCATTCAAAACGTGTTTCAAAGGAGCTGAATTATCCACATACATCTGCTCCTCTCCAAAATGAACAGAGTGACAACCCTTCAGTCTGGTGAATGAGACATATCTTTGAATAAGATGAATCTTTAATACCTTTTTTTTTTTTCCATCTTAAAAGTGGCTTGTCCTATATACCAGTTTGACTAATGTACTGGGATAAAAAGCCATGTGGTGTCATGACCTCAAGTGCAGCCGCCACCATCACCTACTGCATGCAACCTGAAACCTGGCCCCCGTTCATTGGGTATTAGAAGCAGCCGCTTCCCTGTGCAAAGTGTGCTGGGATTTATACAGTAGTGACCTGAACCAGGCTGGCGGTGCTACTTTTCTACATCTTTTCTCCCTCGTTAGGTCATAACCATGCATTAACAGAGAATGGTGGTATACTGTATATAAATAATGAATAAATAAACATTGTGGAGTGCTGGTTTGATTGAAAAGATACCTCAATTAAAGATAAAAAAAAAAAAAAAAGAGTCCATTGAATTGTTCATGGGCTGTGGGTCTGTACTTCACAACTATCAATGTTACCGTAGGCTGAGAGCTCAATTAGCATACAGGTAGCTAGTAGCTAAACAGCTACACAGAAACTACAAGTATTGACTTTGCTGAATGCATTGCAAATCGACACACAGGAAGACAGTTTAAACCTTTTTGTTTAAACCCACATCGTCTTAAATCCTGGTGCGACTTATATTCTGGATTTTAAGGTGTCACGGTTCAGAAGAAACAAAGTAGGAGGACCCGTGTGCAGAAACAAAAAATAATTATTTAAACAGAAAGGCCAAAGGAAAACAAAAACTTATTTCAAAATCAAATCCAAAATGTCCAACTGAAAAAACCACAAAGGGGTAAAAACACTAGTAGCTACGAGGAAGACTGGCATGGAACATGGACTGACAAACGACATTCAACAAACTACAAAACATTTAGAGCCACAAGGAATTACCAGGAAGACAGACACTGGGAACATTAAACATCCAAAAACTAACAATGACCTGACATAGAAAGAAACACAGAGACTAAATAGACATGGGGTAATCAAACACAGTTGAGACCAACAAGACACAGGTGAGGAAGGGAAACACACAGAGGCAGGGAGAAAATACAAGAAAAGAAACACTGAGGACAACTACAGAATAAATCATGAAACATTGAAGACACACTAGAACACAGAACACTGGGATAAGAAATTATCAAAATAAAAACACTAGAAACTAAACTAGGAAACTAGAACAACTTAAACAGGAAATATAAACCTAAACTCTTAAAATATACAACTTAAAAAACACCAAATCATGACATAAGGTAAATATCAAATTCAGAATAAATATGTTTTAAGTAAAAAATAAAAAAAAGTCAGTGCCTCTTAGATGCCATTCAGCTGAGCACCAGGGCCTGGTAGCTGAGCTGCCACTAACACAAGTTCACAATCTGACAAAAAGGCTTCTTCGTTCAATTCTATGTTGAAAAACAATGGTAAATTTAAATAAAATGCTGATAATTTATTTGAATCTAAATGGCCAACAGGGTACCCTGTGCACAGCCTGTACGCTCTCAGGTCTGCACGGTTGCAGGAACATACCATGACAAATGGAAACTAACTTGACTGTATTTTATTGTGAGTGAACGTGTTTCACCTGTAGCTTCCTCAGGTTCGCCCAGCGCTAATCATTTAGTTGTTTGGAAATGTAAACAGCTGGAACTTATGTATCATAAATCATCAAAGATACATATATGTAATATTTAAAATGATTCAGTTCAACTGTTGGATAAAGTCAATACAGTAAACTTTGTTTTAGGTCTTTCATCCTTCACTGAGCCGTGCAGATGTGAACCATCTGTGTCTAAACAGACCCACAACACGAGAAGTTCATCACTA